AAAAGATGGACAATTTTTCCCCCCAGTTACAACAGTTCGTTGTTTAACTGAAGACTGAAATGCAGGTCCTTGGCTTACAAACATTTGTTCAGTGACTGTTCAAGGTTATGGGGCACTGAAAAAAGTGACTTAGTATGGGTTTTCAAAACTGTCAAATAATGATGATGATGATGTTGGAAGGGACCTTAGAGGTCATCTAATCCAACCCCCTGCTCAGGCAGGAAACCCTATACCATTTCAGACAAATGGCTGTCCAGTCTCTTCTTAAAAACTTCCAGTGTTGGGGCATTCACAGCTTCTGGAGGCAGGTTGTTCCACTGGTTAATTGTTCTCACTGTCAGGAAGTTTCTCCTTAATTCCAGGTTGCTTCTCTCCTTGATTAGTTTCCATCCGTTGCTTCTCGTCCTGCCTTCAGGCACTTTGGAGAATAGCTTGACTGCCTCTTCTTTGGGGCAGCCCCTGAGATACTGGAAGGCTGCTATCATGTCCCCCCTCGTCCTTCTCTTCATTAAACGAGACATCCCCAACTCCAGCAACCGTTCCTTATATGCTTTAGTCTCCAGTCCTCTAATCATCTTTGTTGCTCTTCTCTGTACTCTTTCTAGAGTCTCAGCATCTTTTTTATATCGTGGTGACCAAAACTGAATGTGATATTCCAAGTGTGGCCTTACCAAGGCCTTGTAAAGCGGTATTAACCCTTCACGTGATCTTGATTCTCTCCCTCTGTTAATGCAGCCCAGCACTGTGTTGGCCTTTGTGGCAGCTGCAGCGCACGGCTGGCTCCTATTTAAGTGATTGTCCACTAGGACTTTGAGATCCCTCTCACAGTCATGCAATTGACTTGTTCCTACAGAAGCATTTCCGTGATGAGAGGATCAGACGCTGACATCATCGTTTCCCCTGGGATGCCCAGTTTTGTGCCCCTGTTAAGCTGCCTGTCAGAGTTGTATGTTTCTGTCTACTCACAGTCGCCCGCTTTTGAACATTTGGATTGGCAGGAGCCGGACCCAGTGGCGGATGCTCACCCCAGGTCTCAAACACGAGCCTGCCGATCGTCAGCCCAGTGTCCTAACCACCTCAGCCACCGTGCTCCCAACTCCCAAATATTACCTATTCTGTTTGTAATTCTGGGAGGCGATCAAACACATCTGGAGGTTTGGGTCGAGAAGAAAAAAGCTACTTTAGTTGTTCTTGAAAGCTTGTTGTTGTTATTAGTTGTGAAGTCGTGTCCGACCCATCGCGACCCCATGGACCACGTTCCTCCAGGCCTTCCTGTCCTCTACCATCTTCTGGAGTCCCTTTAAGCTCAGGCCTCCTGCTTCAGTGACTCTGTCCAGCCACCTCCTTCTCTGTCGTCCCCTTCTTCTCTTGCCCTCCATCTTTCCCAGCATCAGGCTCTTCTCCAGTGAGTCCTTCCTTCTCATTAGGTGGCCAAAGGACTTGAGTTTCAACTTCAGGATCTGGCCTTCTAAAGAGCAGTCGGGGTTGATCTCCTCTAGGACTGACCGGTTGGATCGCCTTGCAGTCCAGGGGACTCGCAGGAGTCTTCTCCAGCACCAGAGTTCAAAGGCCTCCATTCTTTGGCGCTCGGCCTTCTTGTGCGATCCAAACTGACCAATATATGCTCCTTTCTTAGCAGGAACCCAGCAGAGAAGAGGAGGAGGAGGAGAAGGAGGAGGAGGAAGGAGCAGAACATCCTGCAGAAGCTGACACGTGCTGGTGAGTTAAAGAATACTAGCATAGTTACTGGTAATATCCTGATGGAAGAGGAATTCTAACAATGCAACCAACCAATAGCTTGGGAAACACCACGAATGCACTCCTGTGTAAAAACTGATAAGCCAATATCTACAGCTAGATATTTCTTCCATCCTGGCAGTGCTAAGCAAATACTCTGTTTTAGACACCAAGTTTCATCAGTGCCTTTTCATCCGCAGAATGGGTATAAACCCAGTCCCATCAGTTGCTCAGTGGAAATTCCTCTTGTTTTTAACTTGGTTTTAACGCCTAGTGGGAGGGCACTATGCTTCCCTTGCTAGGAACCGAGCCCGTTTATCCCATTGAAATAGGCAGTTTTTGAAATGGGACAGAGAGGAGGGCGTGGACCTATCCTGCAAAGCAAGACAAGAAGCAACGGATGGAAACTAACCAAGGAGAGAAGCAACCTGGAACTAAGGAGGAATTTCCTAACAGTGAGAACAATTTAACCAGTGGGACGACTTGCCTCCAGACGTTGTGGGTGCTCCATCGCTGGAGGTTTTTAAGAAGGGACTGGACAGCCCTTTGTCCTGAATGATTATAGGGTCTCCTGCTTGAGGGGGTTGGACTTGAAGACCTCCAAAATCTCTTCCAGCTCTTATTCCGTATTCAATATTCCAAGCACAACAGTGAGTTTTCAATAGAGAAGATATTCTGGAATCGTTTACTGCGAGGATGATAACTTCCCATTTTTTAAAAAAAACCTTTAGTATGTAGGGAGATTGCTTGTCATGCATTGCCATATTTAATAATAATAATAAAGATGGAAGGGACCTTGGAGGTCATCTAGTCCAACCCCCTGCTCAGGCAGGAAACCCTATACTATTTCAGATAAGAATAGAATAGAAATAGAATAGAATAGAATAGCAGAGTTGGAAGGGACCTTGGAGGTCATCTAGTCCAACCCCCTGCTCAGGCCGGAAACCCTATACTATTTCAGATAAGAATTGAATAGAAATAGGAATAGAATAGAATAGAATATGAATGGGATGGGATGGGATAGGATAGGATAGGATAGGATAGGATAGGATAGGATAGGATAGGATAGAATAGAATAGAATAGAATAGCAGAGTTGGAAAGGACCTTGGAGGTCATCTAGTCCAACTCCCTGCTCAGGCAGGAAACCCTATACTATTTCAGATAAGAATCTTGGAGGTCATCTAGTCCAACTCCCTGCTCAGGCAGGAAACCCTATACTATTTCAGATAAGAATGAAATAGAATAGAATAGAATAGAATAACAGAGTTGGAAGGGACCTTGGAGGTCATCTAGTCCAACCCCCTGCTCAGGCAGGAAACCCCATACCATTTCAGACAAATGGCTGTCCAGTCTCCTCTTTATTTGATTTGATCAAGTTCACATTTGTTTTGTGGGTGGTTTTAATACTTTTACCCAGCTCTTAATAACGCCTTTTACAAGTGTGTTTGGTGTTTGCACAAAAAAAAAAAACTTTACAACTGGGCTAGGAACTTAATAATCGATTTGTTAAATTAGTACCGGAGGGCGCGCCGAAGCGGAAAACGTCAGTCATGGGAACAAAAGGATTCCTAAAGACCCGGAGACCTGTGACATCCCGTTCTACGTGTCTGAATTTGTGGAAAGGAAAGTTGGGACGGATTACGATTCATTAAGCAAGCTTGGCGAGCTGATTGAGCAGTTGTCAAAAAACCAGATGAAATTAGAAGAACAGGTGAGTTTCATCCTGGGAGGGAAGGTGTGTTCAAATACTTTAAGAAAAATAGCCCACTCTTTAGGTTTCCAATTATTTGGACTCTAAATGAAGCATTGGGCAGCCTTCTCCAAGGCCTGGCATTTCTTCACATATTACAAATAATATTTCACGGATATGGTCTTTGATTTACAACCATTTTTTGAGCGGCTGAATTTACAACGGCACTGGAAAAAAAAGGTGACTTGTGACCAGTTTCTCACACTTATGACCGTTGCAGCCTCCCCACGGTCACTTGATCAAAATCTAGCCGCTTGGCAACTGGCGTGTATTTTGTGACCGTTGCACTGCCCTGTGGTCACGTGATCACTACATGAAACCTTCCCAGCCGGCTTCTGACAAAAGTCAATGGGGAATCATTAAGCAAGGATTCGCTTAATAAGTGTAGCAAGAAAGGTCGTAAAATGGGGCAAAATTCATTGCCTTGCTGAGCAATGGGCTAAATTGCAGTTCTAATTCGAGGACTATCTATCCAGAGAATCCCAGGCACGGGGCCCACGTTTATGGATTTTAACTATTTAAATGCGGGAAGGCTGTTTTTAAAGTAACATACATTGGTCTGTATCAGGGGTAGGCAACCTTGGCTCTTTTATGACTCGTGGACTTCAACTCCCAGAATTCCTCAGCCAGCATGGGGGAACTATGGCCCCTTCATGACTTGCGGACTTCAACTCCCAGAATTCCTGAGCCAGCATGGCTCAGCTTGGAAACCTCTCCCTTTCCCCTCAGCGTGGCTGGCTCAGGGATTCTGGGAGTTGAAGTCCAGAAGTCATGAAGGGGGCCATAGTTCCCCCATGCTGGCTCAGGAATTCTGGGAGTTGAAGTTCACAAGTCATGAAGGGGTCATAGTTCCCCCATGCTGGCTCAGGAATTCTGGGAAGTCCAGAAGTCATGAAGGGGGCCATAGTTCCCCCATGCTGGCTCAGGAATTCTGGGAGTTGAAGTCCACGAGTCATAAAAGAGTAAAGGTTGCCTACCCCTGGTCTGTATATAGCCAGGGCTGGCTGAGAAATTCTGGGAGTTGAAGTCCACAAAGTCTTAAAGTTGCCAAGTGTGAAGACCCCTGGTGTATAGGATATATTTGGCACATGCACCAATATTACACCCATCACATTGGATGTGATAAATAACATTGGCGTTGATTGTCAGGTCACGTATTGAACTAATTCTTAACTTGTTTTTTATTCAGACCATTTTAAACAAGTTTTTTCTCTCTCTTAAGACTAGCTTTCTATTGTCATTTTAATGTTTTTGGTTGCTTAATGGACACGATACAGGAAGTACTGATAGTCCTCGGCTTACAACAGTTCATTTAGCGACCGTTCAAAGTTGCAACGGCACTGAAAAAAGTGACTTATGACCGTTTTTCACACTCACAACCGTTTTTCACACTCAGATCCCCAGGGTCACGTGATCAAAATTCAGTCCCTTGGCAACTGACTCATATTTATGATGGTTGCAGAGTTCCCCCCCCCCCGGGGTCACATAATCCCCTTTTGCGACCTTCTGACAAGCAAAGTCAATGGGGGAAACTAGGTTAACAACTTAACCACCATGTTACCAAACTTAACCACTGCAGGGATTCATTTAACAACCGTCGCACGAAAGGTCATAAAATGAGGCCGTACTCAAATGTCTTGGCAACAAAAAATTGTTGTTAAGTCAAAGGTGGTCCGTGTAACAGCCTGCTGCTCTCCTGACGACAGGTTCTCACCGTTTCATCGGAAGTCCCCAAAAGGATCCAGAAGGCCTTGCAGAACGCCGAAGATTCGAAGAAATCTTTCCATGAGCTTCTGGAGAGCGAGAGGGTTTTGAACGATGCGGTGAACGGCCACCTGTTGACCTCCAGCCCTTGGATGGAGGAGTTTGCTGCCCTGATAAGCCAAATAAAAGAAGTCGAGAGACACCTCGCTTACTTAAAACAGATTTCACAAGTAGAAGAATTAAGGTAAAGAAGGTTTCAAATCGTTTCGTATTGTTTCAGTATAACGGAAGGCTTAAAACGGAGGTCACCAACCTTTTGTCGGTTGGCGGACCGGAGGAAAAGGGAGAGGGAAGCATTTTACGTGTGTGTGTGCGCGCCCGGGGCCGCGAGCACGGGCGTGCCGCAAACGAGGTGGGACTAGCGCCTGCATGATACTGGCCCTGCCCTGTTCTTGCGTGGCGCAGCCCCTTGTTTCTGCGTCCATGGTGCAGCGGTGGCCATGTTTGTGTCTTGCAGCATGCCAATGCCCCGTTTTTGCACCCCGTGATACGGCGACGCCCCGTTTTTGCACCTCGAGGCCCATTTTTGCGCCCCATGGCACAAAAATGTTATATGAGTATGTGACTACATGCTTGAATTTCTTTGATTTATTTACGTAGTTTATAGTAATAACCTTTCTTTGCCTCTAGCCTTCAGGCTCCTAACACAGTTGTAAAGGTAGCTTTGTGATAATTTTTTGATTTCCATATGGACTTAGTTGGCTAATTTATTTTCTTGGACAGGTAATTCTATTTTAGGGGGTCTTTGGCGCTCTCTGCGCTTGGTGGTTTTCTTGCAGATGTTCCATTGCTAACACCGATGATGTTACCTAGTTGGGTCATGAAATGTCTGCAAGAAAACCACCAAGGGACTAGAGGCTAAAACATATAAGGAATGGTTGCTGGAATTGGGTATGTCCAGTTTAATGAAGAGAAGGACCAGGGATGACATGATAGCAGTGTTCCAGTATCTCAGGGGTTGCCCCAAAGAAGAGGGAGTCAAGCTATTCTCCAAAGCGCCTGAAGGCAGGACAAGAAGCAACGGATGGAAACTCATCAAGGAAAGAAGCAACCTAGAACTAAGGAGAAACTTCCTGACAGTTAGAACCAATTAACCAGTGGAACAACCTGCCTCCAGAAGTTGTGGGTGCTCCATCACTGGAGGTTTTTTAGAAAAGACTGGACAGGCATTTATCTGAAATGGTATAGGGTTTCCTGCCTGAGCAGGGGGTTGGACTAAATGACCTCCCAAGGTTCCTTCCAACTTTATTATTGTTATTATTAAGCTCAGAGAATATCAAAGACTCCACAGTTCAACCCCAAGCTACAAACACTAATTCTATTTTGGTTTCATTTGATGATTTTAGCTTCTGGCAATACCACACACGGTACAATCTCTGCTCATTTGTCCACTGTTTTTTCTCCCCTCTTTGTTTTGCCAGTGACAACATCCAGCAGTATCTAATGACCAACAACGTGCCCGAGGCTGCTACGGCCTTGGCGTCCATGGCTGAATTAGATATCAAGCTTCAAGACTCTTCCTGCTCACATCTCTTGACTTTTATAAGGTCTACTATTCAATTCTGGCACAAGATCCTGAAAGACAAATTATCCAGGTAGGAAAATGTCCATTTAATTGTCTTAGGCTTCCTTTGGATCACCGAGTCACGGCGATAACGACGCGCTCGTCTTTTTTTGCAGTGATTTCGAAGAGACGCTGACGCAGCTGCATTGGCCATTTATTGGACCAGCACAGTCCCAAGCGTTGGGCCTGGCTCCCTCCTCACCGAACGCCGCAGAAATATACAGTAACTTTGAGACCCTGTTTTCTCAACTCCTCAAACTGCAGACATCGTATCCTCTTTAAGTTTTTGGTTTTTTTTTAAGTATCCGGTTAGCCTTGGCTTAAATGCAGAATTATTGTATAATTCTTTATGGAATGTAGGGTCATGGATATCCCCAATCTCAGCCAACACCCAGATGTTAAGATGTTCTTCTACCTTCAATTGCAGCAAATAATATTCTATGAATATCCTCACAGAAAGAGCCCAAGCATTGTGGGGCAACCCTTGTTAATGTTTGCAAGTTGACACGCATTCTGTCTCTTCCCTTCTGTCATTTGTGCAGAGATACACACGTAACGCAGATATAGAGACGTAGAAACGTGTGCAACCTGGACAAAGAAATCTATCTGCCCACCTAGATACAGTAGTGGCCAAAATGGTGGAAACCTTTTGGGAAAAGTGTACAGTAAAAATGCCATCTTTGGTTAAGTTTCCACCCATTTTTTCTTCTCATTTCTTTATAACTGTAGCCTTGTTAATAATACTATTTTACATCGCTTTCTGGGCGACCAGTCAACTCTTTGCACCATGACCTTAATTTTATTACATTTTACAAGCTCAGTAAATGAAAGAGCACAAAATCCAACCAACTTGATAGTGATCACACAACACACTGACAAATGTCCTCCTCTCAGCTTCAATACAGGACATCAATCACTGGATCCTACTGTGATCTGATTGGCTCATTGCCAAAACAAGATGACACCTGATTGGCTGTCTAAGCACTCGTGCTCATTGGCTACAATCAGAGGAAGGAAAGCTACCCGAGATCAACCTAAGCCAGTGGTGCTTCCTTTTTCTGGTTATTTGTCTGTAGCTTTTCATAGAATACAGTACAAATAATTGAACAAACTTCGTTGCGTCACATTCTTGATTAAATTATCTTTCCATTGATACATAATTTTATGGTACTACTCCCCCCAAAAGTGGTGTTATTAGCCATCCAACCTCAAAAATACACTTTTCCCAAAAGGTTTCCACAATTTGGGCCACTACTATATATATGCAAATGCCTTTAAAGATAAAGTTTCCCCCTGTCCAGTTGTGTTTGATTCTAGTGGACAGCGCTCATATCCATTTCTCAGCCGAGGGAGCCAGCCTTGTCTGAAGGCGCTTCCATGATCATGTGGCCAGCGTGACCGTACACCGAGGCACACGGAGCGCTGTCACCTTCCCACCAAAGTGGTACTTATTTATCTACTCGCAGTTCCACGCTTTCGAACTTCTAGATGGGCAAGGAGCTGAGCAAGGAACAGGAGCTCACCCCATCTTGCGACACCCAGGTCTCAAACTTGGGCTGTCAGCTTTCCAGCTAGCCAGTACCTAGATCAGTGTTTCTCAACCTTGACAATTTTAAGGCATGTGGACTTCAACTCCCAGAATTCCACAGCCAGCATTGCTGGCTGTGGAATTCTGGGAGTTGAAGTCCACATGCCTTAAAATTGTCAAGGTTGAGAAACACTGACCTAGATAGTCTTATGGCTCACTGAGGATCCCCCATCTCCTTCATGTCAGGGGAATCCAAGGTTTCTCTTTCTGTCCTTAAGATTATTAATTTTTAATTGATTGTCAGCCGCCCTGAGTCCTACGGGAGAAGGGCGGGATACAAATCCAAATATAAATAAAATAAATAAATAAATAAATTCGAGTCGTTTATAAGGGACTGTATTGATTAAAAGAAACACCTTTCATTTTATTCGAACGACGAAACAGATCTTTCTTCTAAACAGCTTATAAACCTCTGGTGCTCCTACATTGGTCGTCTCCCATCTCCCATCCTATCAACAAAGGCAATAATAATAATAATAATAATAATAATAATAATAATAATAATAATAATAATAATAAAGTTGGAAGGGACCTTGGAGGTCATCGAGTCCAACCCCCTGCTCAGGCAGGAAACCCTACACCATTTCAGACAAATGCCTGTCCAGTCTCTTCTTAAAAACTTCCAGTGTTGGAGCACTCACAACTTCTGGAGGCAGGTTGTTCCACTGGTTAATTGTTCTCACTGTCAGGAAATTTCTCCTTAGTTCCAGGTTGCTTCTCTCCTTGATCAGTTTCCATCTGTTGCTTCTTGTCCTGCCTTCAGGCGCTTTGGAAAATAGCTTGACTCCCTCTTCTTTGGGGCAGCCCCTGAGATATTGGAACGCTGCTATCATGTCCCCCCTCATCCTTCTCTTCGTTAAACTAGACATACCCAATTCCAGCAACCGTTCCTTATATGCTTTAGCCTCCAGTCCCCTAATCATCTTTGTTGCTCTTCTCTGTACTCTTTCTAGAGTCTCAGCATCTTTTTTACATCGTGGTGACCAAAACTGGATGCAGTATTCCACGTGTGGCCTTACTAAGGCATTGTAGAGTGGTAGTAATACTTCAAGTGATCTTGATTCTATCCCTCTGTTAATGCAGCCCAGCCCTGTGTTGGTTTTTTTGGCAACTGCAGCTTTTTTTGGTTTTGTTTTGTTTTGTTCACAGTGTTTTAATTTTTGTTTTATTGTGGTGGGGGATGAGGGAAGAGGGTTTTTTTTTTCAGTGAAATGAAAAAATGCTTGTTTGGTGGACTCTTGGATTCCATCCTACCTCTGTAAGCCCTTGCACGTATTCTCACCACATTGTACCTTAACGCATAAAAAAAAATCTCAGGGACGAACTATTAACCAAGCCGAAGCAACTGCCGGAAAAATACCTCCTTCCATCAACTCCACCTGTGATACTACCTATGCAGATCATGCTGGCTCCCCTTCAGAAAAGATTCAAGTACCATTTCACGGGGAATCGGCAAACCAACGTCCTGAGCAAGGTAGAATAGCCTGGATCGGCAGATCCTCCACTTAGATGTTGCTTTGTTGTCCCTTTGACTGAGCAGTGCACAGGTTTTTCTCTGATTTTGTCTGACTTTTCTCCTTCCCAAGCCCGAGTGGTATCTTACCCAAGTATTGATGTGGATTGGGAACCACGTGTCGTTTCTCGAAGACAAAGTTCAGCCCATCCTGGACAAAGCAGGCACTTCCGTGAACGCAAGGGTAAAACCCTCTCTCCTTTTCTTGTGGATTGGCAGCCCTTGTCCCGCAGGCAGTCCTTGACTTACCGCCACAACTGAGCCCAGCATTTATATTTTGCTAAGTCAGACGGTCATTAAGTGAGTTTTGCCCTGTTTTACGACTTTACTTGCCACAGATGGTAAGCGAATCACTGCAGTTGTTCAGGTAGTACCACGTTTGTTACGTGAATCTGGATTCCCCCCCGTTGACTTCGCTTGTTGAAAGGTCGCAATCCCATGACCCCGGGACGCTGCGACAGTCATAAATATGAACCTGTTGCCAAAGCACTTGAATTTTGATCACGTGACCATGGGGATTGCGCAGCGGTCGCAAGCGTGAAAAACGATCATCAGTCACTTTTTTTCAGCGCCATTGTAACTTTGAACGGTCAGTAAGCGACCTGTCGTAAGGCAAGGCCCACCGTACTTTATTTTCGATCTTGTCCCTAGTTTGCTCTATTCTCCAGTGTCAGAGCATGCACAGTCTTATTGCGCTGAGGTAACCCAGGAGTAAATACAGTAAACAGTGGTCTGTATTAAATGGTGGTTTATATTACACTATCTACAAATATACACTAGAAACAGGATACACGCACGGGGTGATTCAGCAAACTCCGATACACAGCAATTACCGCAGGAAATGGACGAGAAAGACTCCAGCAAAAAGCCTTCCTTCCCTTTTATACTCAGACTCTTAAAGGGATACACACACCCGCTGAGTCATTCCTAACATTGCATCATTCATCTCACATTATGCAAGCTGGTTAGTTTCTAAATCATCATCTTGACATACAGGGTGTTGTTTTTTTAAAGATTTTGGTCTGAAGTTTTGATCACGTGACTGTCGGGACGCCGCAGCGGTTGTGAGCGTCAATCCCTTTTTTTCAGTGCCGTTGTGACTTTCGACGGTCCCTGAAAATGAATTATTGTGAGTCGAGGACTGCCTCTGACAAGAGCCACACTGTCCTTTTATCTGTTGGTTTTAATGTTTATCTCTTTTAATTCTTAAGCTGGAGTTTTCCCGGGCTTTGGTCATGCTCATCCTGGAGAAGCTGGACGCCGAGATCCCTTGCATGTTGTACGACGACAACCTCTTCTGCCACCTGGTGGACGAGATCCTCCTGTTTGAAAGGGAGCTGCACGGTCTTCGTGGCTACCTCATCACTCTCCCCAGCTGCATGCACATTTTATCGGAAGAAACCTACTTTCAGAGATGGTTGACGGTAGAGAGAAAATGTACGACGCTACGGCAGAGGTCCCCAAACATTTGGGCAGCGGGGACCACCGGTTCCATGGAGAGAAGTTTTTCCGCGGACCGGAGAGGGCGTGGTTTTGTGTGCTGCCTGCATCCCGCGGGTGGGGCTTTGCTTGTTTGTGCGGACCGGTTGCTGGCGTGCCATGGCCCGGTACCAATCCACAAACCGGGGGTTGGGGACCCTTGTGCTATGGAATCATTTCCTTGCATTAAACAATCCCACTTCCCCCCCTCCCCACGGGCAATAGCTACCCTGAATGTAAACAGGTGGCGGGATCAAATACAGGTAGTCCTCGACTGATGACAGTTCATTTAGTGACCGTTCAAAGTTACAACAGCACTGGGGAAAAAAGTGACTTAAAACAATCATTTTTCCCACGTAGGACAGTTGTGGCGTTCCCCCACAGTCATGTGATCAAAATTCAGACGCTTGGCAACTGACTCGTATTTATGACCGGCACAGTGTCCCAAGGTCACGCGATTCCCCTTTTGCGACCTTCCGACAAGCAGAGTCAAGGGGGAAGCCAGGATCACTTAAACAACTGTCTTACTATCATAACAACCACACAGTAATAACTGTGGCATGAAAGGTCATAAAATGGGGGCAAAATTCACTGAAATATTTCACTTCGCAACAAACCTTTGGGCCTCAATTGTGCTCATAAGCCGAAGACTATCCGTCATGTATAAAATTAACGCACCGTAATGTCTGCATTTGGGATTTAAAAAAAAAAAAAAAAAAGCTGGTGCTTTGTTTTTCTGACTGACCCTTTTCTCCGTAGCTGCACTTGTGAATGAGCCTTTAGCTTCGTCATTGTGTCTTCCTCATAGTTGCTCTTCAGAAGATGGACTCCATGCTGTCATCGGAAGCTGCTTGGGTATCCCAGTACAAGGACATCACTGATGTAGATGAAATGAAGGTCCCAGACTGTGCAGAGACTTTTATGACTCTCCTCCTGGTGATCACCGGTAATTATAACGGGCTTTTGGCATTTTGATTCTGTTATTCGTTCAGGAATGGCACCGTATTTTTTACGGGAAAATAAACTGCCGTTAGTAGTTAAGTAGAAATAGATTTCAAGAGGTACCAATAAAGGAAAATATTTAGGATAGGATAGGATAGGATAGGATAGGATAGGATAGAAATAGAAGAATAGAATAGAAATAGAAGAATAGAAATAGAAGAATAGAATAGAATAGAATATGACCGTTCAAAGTTACAACGGCACTGGAAAAAAAAGTGACAGGATTATTTTTCAGAGTTACAACCTTTGTAGCATTCCCATGGTCACGCAATCAAAATTCACACGCTTGGCAACTGGCGCGTATTGATGACCGTTGCGTGTGATCCCCTTTTGCGACCTTCTGGCGGGCCAAGTCAATGGGTGGGGAGGCAGATTCACTTAACAACTGGGTTACCGACATCGCAACAGCAACCGTTCCCTTTAAACCGTGACCAGAAAGGGGCATAAAAATGGGGCCAAAACTCACTTAGCCGCTGTCACGCTTAGTGACAAAAATTTCAGGCCCCGTCGTGGTTGTAAGCCAAGGACCACCTGCATTCTGTTATTCCATCTCAAGAAAGTCCAGGGCAGCAGCCCAGCAACGCAGATCTTTCTGGAACACAGAGAGCGGTTTTCGTGGGCCCTGCCTGTGAGTTAAAAAAAACCGAGGAAAGAGAACTTGGGGAAGAACCTGAAGATGGATCTTTCCTTCCAGCGCGGAGGTTAACTTGGAATTTTCACAACGTGAAAATAACGCCAGCGCTTTGCGATTTCCACCCAGACAGGTACAAGCATCTTCCCACAGCGGCTCGGAAACTGCGCTTCCTCGAATTGCAGAAAGAGCTGGTGGACGACTTTCGGATCCGGCTCACTCAGGTCATGAAGGAAGAAACCAGAACGCCTCTCGCCTTCCGCTACTGTGCGATCCTGAACGCCGTCAACTACATAGCGACGGTGCTAGCAGACTGGGCCGACAACGTCGTAAGTAACAGTGTGGTGGCGGGAGCCCTTTGTGGGTGGTCGAAAGGCTTTTAGGCGAAGCTACGTTCTGATAGAACGGAGCCATCTATCGCTGGGGTCCGAGCTGCGGGGTGACCTCTGATCTTGGTGGTTGCCTTGCAGACGTCTTGTGACCCAGCTAGGTAATCTCATCAGCGCTAGAAGGGAGGGGGGTTTGTGGAATGGAGGAGAAGAGGAGGAGGAGGACTAAGGCAGGGGTCTTCAAACTTGGCCCTTTTATGACGTGTGGACTTCAACTCCCAGAATTCCCCAGCCAGCATTGGGGGGGGAAATGCTGGCTGGGGAATTCTGGGAGTTGAAGCCCACGCATCTTAAAATCGCCAAGGTTGAGAAACATTGATTTAGATCAGGGGTGTCAAACTGCCGGCCTACGGGCCGGATGCATCACACAGAAGCCGTGCCCACCCCAGCTCCGTCAAGGGGGGGGAAAGTCACGATACGTTGTCATACATCACGTGACGAGTTTGACAGCCCCGATTTAGATCGTGGAATGGCTGTAGCGCCGCCTACTGTTGGCATGTGGTTAGTAAAGACGGGAGGACCTCAGCTGCGAAGAGCTTTTCTCTCCCTTAACGTGAAGAGATGCTCTTGAAATTTTTCGCGCCCTGCCCTTAGCTCCTTTTACTAAGCTCCTGAATCCAAAGCACATGCTTTAGCCGAAAGTTAAGATCCTTAAAAAAAAAACTAGTGGCGATAACTAGATTTTCTTGTTTTTTCTTTGAAGAGGTTTTGCTTCTCATCCCAGAGGCTTCTTCGGCTCGGACTGGATGGTGGGGAATGGAAGGATTTATACTCCTTGCAGACAGCTGGTCATTTGCATCCTTTTAGAGCGTCGTTGAGACCACTTGGAAGTTTATCTGTGTCTTTAGGGTCACCTGAGTGGTGCAGATGGGTGTGGAACCTTCTGGGCTGCAGGATATTTTCTGCCCAGTGTCCCTTCACTGTTGGGGATGAGTCTGTGTTGTCTGCATCTCAAACTGAAGCGCAAATGGTTCCCGTAGTCTGCAACGTTTTCCGAAAATCCATTCATATCCCCGCACCGTTTAAGGGGTGTTCATCCCCAAGGGCATAGCTAAATGTCTATGGAGATTCTCAGATCCTTCCACTCCCCACCATCCAGTCAGAACTGAAGAAGCTTCTGGGATGAGAAGCGAAACCTCTTCAAAGAAAAAACAAGGAAGTCCAGTTGCCTCCTGAAAAAAAGCACCTTTGGGACAAACCAGGACCTGGATAGACTGAGAATCTCCCGAGACGCTAGTGGTGATCCTTTTTTGTTTTTCCTTCCCCCAATGTGGTTTCTCCGCGCAGTTTTTTTTACAGCTGCAGCAGGCGGCCCTGGAAATGTGCGCCGAAAGCGACGGGCTGAGCATGCTGCAGTTAGGGCAGCTGGCTTCCCTGGAAAGCTCTGTGTTCGATGACATGATCAACCTCCTGGAACGGCTGAAGCACGACATGCTCAGCCGCCAAGTCGACCACGTCTCCAAAGAGGTTAAAGAGGTGGCCAAGATCTACAAAAGGGAAAGGTAAAAACTTAGGCAGGAAACCCTAAACCATCTCAAGACAAATGGCCATCCAGTCTCTTCTTAAAAACTTCCAGTGATGGATCATTCACAAGATCTGGAGGCAGGTTAATTGTCCTCCCCGTCAGGAAATTCCTCCTTAGTTCCAGGTTGCTTCTCTCCTTGGTCAGTTTCCATCCGTTGCTTCTTCTCCAGCCTTCCGGCGCTTTGGAGAATAGTCAAATCACACAATAGGAAGGGAGTGGGCAACATGTCTCCCCTTTGATGACGCGTCGCCAGCCCTTGCTCTGAGCATCTGAACAGATCTTTTCCCAGATCTACCATCTGAGCACTTTTGTAGGAGAAGGAGTCAAGAGAGGAATCAGCCTGGAATCATTACGTTCCCACAAACAGCTTAGTCCAGCCCTTCTCGAATTCTGTTTGACTCTTACCCAGCGCCAATTTAGTGCTGACCGGCTAGATTTCTTGTGTTATTGGCACGGACCCTCAATCAGCTTCACGTGTGGACACCTGATTCTTCGCACCGGACATTTTTCATTGACGGGGGAACGAGCCAAGCTACGGGCTTGACTTGAGCCAGGTTTCGTGTCTCTTGCGTAGGTGGCTCTCCTTGCCTTCCCAGGCTGAACAAGCGGTGATGTCCTTGTCCAGCACTGCCTGCCCTTTACTCCTGGCCTTGAGAGACCGGCTCCTTCAGTTGGAGCAGCAGCTCTGCTACTCCTTGTTCAAAACCTTCTGGCAGATGCTCGCCGAGCAAGTTGACTTGTTCATCTATCAGGAGGTAAGCACCATCGCTCACGTCTTGCTGGGACTTTAGCCAAGACGGCGGTCCTGGTTTTTAAACGCGGCTGGCCTTTGATCCGCACGCCATCTCTTTCAGGTCATTCTGGCCAATCATTTCAACGAAGGGGGAGCGGCCCAACTCCAGTTCGATATGACTCGGAATCTTTTCCCTTTATTCTCCCATTACTGCAAGCGGCCGGAGAATTATTTCAAACAGTGAGTATGGCGCACAATGCTTGTTTATTTCTAAGTTGCCTATGGCAGTAGTGGCGAACCTGTGGCACGTGTGCCAGAGGCGGCACTCGGAGCCCCCTCTCTGGGCACGCGCGCCATGCCCCGGAGATGGCAACCATCCTTCTTCAACCAGCCACCCACTAACTCGCCGAGGTCCCACATGGCTGGATGCATCCCAGCACCCATGCGCTCGCTGGCCTCTGTGTGCGGGGGCCGATGGTGTCAGGCAGCAGCCGTCCCTGCCTCGCCTTGTGACAATGACACCCCCACCCTGCCTCGCCTCATCCCGCAGGACGAGCCTCCTGCCCATTGCCCCACCTGCCAGAGACCCCCTGGATCTCCCCAACCCTGCCCGGCCCCCACAGGCGTCCCTCCCCACGAGCAACATTGAGGTGATCACACCCATGGCTGGCTGGGGAATTCTGGGAGTTGAAGTCCACAAGTCTTAAAGAGGGTGAGTTTGAGGACCCCTGGTATAAGGACGAAGACTGTCCAGTCTCTTCTTAAAAACTTCCAGTGTTGGAGCATTCACCGCTTCTGGAGGCAGGTTGTTCCACTGGTTAATTGTTCTCACTGCCCGGAAATTTCTCCGTAGTTCCAGGTTGCTTCTCTTCTTGATTAGTGTCCATCTGTGGGTTCTTGTCCTGCCTTCGGGCGCTTTGGAGAATAGCTTGACTCCCTCTTTTGGGGGGCAGCTCCTGAGATACTGGAACGCTGCTATCATGTCCCCCCTCGTCCTTCTCTTCACTAAACTAGGCATACCCAATTCCAGCAACCGTTCTTTATATTGTTTGAAAGTTCTTAGAATCACACAAGATTTTTGTCACCTGGCAGTAAAAGCTCTTGGAGAAACCTAAAGTTATCTTGGATGAGGAATCTGTGGTTGTGTTACTCTTTGAAACATACCCAGATTTAGAACCGGATTTATTTTATTTTTTTTCTTATCTAGCATCAAGGAGGCCTGTATTGTGCTGAACTTAAACATCGGTTCCGCCCTGCTGTTGAGGGACGTGCTACAGTCGGCTCCGGAAACCAGAACTGGAATCAACTTTCCTTCAAATCAACCCACCGCTGTGGCAGCGTTAAATGAACTTGGGATTTATAAGTTAGCTCCAAAGGATGTTGAGATTCTCCTTAATTTGAGGACAAATTGGCCTAATACGGGCAAATAATCAAGGCAAACAGAACGGAGAGACACTCATCGCTGTTACATTATTTAGAAATGACCCTATGTTCTCATGTGATGCCGAGTAAACTGCCTTAGAAAGAAAAACATGCATTAAAAAACAGCTGAAAACTAAACCGCGATACATCACGGCTTCAAAGAAACATTTATAGTTTGATGGTCTGGTTACTGTATTGGCTGTTACTCTCAGTTCTGGAGAGAGACACCTTTCATTTTCTCAGTTGACTGTGCCAATCAGGTGAAAAAACTCTTTTAAATGGAGAAATTATTCTAACATATGCTCCATATGATAGAAATAGTCATCTTAGAGGAACACACTGGATTATTTTAAAAATTCCTGGGATAGACCTGTTTATTGCCTCCTCTGATGCTCAGATTAATCTCGCTTAGCTGGATTGGAGTGTCTTCAGAACCTTTTGTGTTACCAAGATTGTGGTCTGAGAGATATTACACGGGGGCTAAAACGAGCAGAATCATTCTTGCCTTTTTGAATGAACCGTGTGTCGACAAAAAGCACAAAAGGGACAAACAATTTTGCATGCCATTCCGTGGCAAATTTTACTTCCTTTGGCTCCTAACGTTAGCATATTTCTAATCCAGATAAGATGAAGGCTTTGCAGAAATTTGCCAGTGTGCAGTTCTTGAAACGTACTCTACAATTATAGAAAATATATGTGATTAGTCTCCTTTTGATGAGAAAGTTGGAGTCATAATCTTCCGTCAATGTGTAAACTAGTCATAATGTCATTTTTTTTTCTGATGGAAAAATTTACATTGAATCAATCTCCCTGAAATAAAAAGACCGCTAAAATCTTAGTGTTGGCTAACACTCCCAGTATTTATTTAGCAAATTCAGTAGGATAACAGTTTTGAAGATTTTTCAAATATGGGAAAAGGAGATGTTTTGTACCTGTGTTCAGTGATGACGTAATTAGTACAAGTGAAGACCGTGATATATATATAAATGAAATTGCTAGCTTTTTTTCCCCAGAAAGTACAAAATAGATATATAAAATATTCCAGGTGAGAATATTCAGCATTAAACTGTTGTCCACAGTTCAGCAAATTTTTTCGTCCTGTTGTGGGGGGCAAACAAAGATACATAACATATAAAGATAATATATAAACAATTGCATTTTTCCCCATCACAGCCAGTTTAGTTATGGGATGAACAGTGTATTTAGTGTAAGCACACCAACATACAATTTCTGCCTGCGTGTGTTAGGCGTGTTCTTAGGTTAATACTTAAAATTTGTCTTGGGTTATTTTTATGCATTTATTAGTTTTTAAAGGAAGGTCTCGTTTAATAACCGTTTGTTTTAAGAACCGTTCGAAGTCACGATTGCGCTAAAAATGACTTGCCGCTGGTTCCCGCACTTCCAACTGTCACAGTGCCCTGTGGTCACGTGATTATGATTGGGTTTAGCAACCCTCATTTGTGACACATGCAGCGTGTCCTGTGGTCACATGATCCACCATTTGCAACCTTCCAGCCAGCTTCCAACGAAATCTGGAGAGGCCGAGAAGATCACAAGTAGTGGGCCTCTGATGCCTTGCTTAAAATGCCAAAACACAAGGTGGAACATTTTTGGCAATCGCAAAGGAAAGCATGGATTGTCCATCCCGTTTCTAAAGTTTGTTTACGAATCTCATTTACTGCAAGAACGTCATCACCGAAATAATATGGACCTCCCTTTAGCCGTCTTGTGTTTAAAAACAATATCCGGGAAAGACTAGTAATGTTTTAGTAATTATAGTGTACTTTGCTTGAAGAGGTAAGAGGAGGAACAATTGGATACTTCTTTACTTTTGACTTTCTGTATCTAAATTCGTAGCTTTATCAGCAGGTAAATCTCCTAGGATGAGTGGATTTTAGACACATACATGTCCAACATCTCACCCTGAGTGCTGGAGACAGAATTGGGTACAAAAAAGATGGTTGGGACAATTCAGGATATATTGTTGGATGAATTAAGGGATTACAGGGTCATAAAAAGGAAAGAAAATGTGGTATATATACAATAAAAATAAATACATACGAGCACCAGGATAATATCAAACTAGAATTTGTTTAATAAAAATGCTGAGCTTTCGTCGGCCAGCACTGCC